TAAAACAATGGAAAAAGAAATTAAGGCTCAGTAAGTTTGATTGAAACTTTTTTCTTGGTCTGTCTTACAAGAGGGGGAGAAGGTATTACCTGTGTTGGCTAGCTGCTGGTCAAATTGGTTAACATCAGATGTTTTTCGTTAACCGTGATCATGTTTTTACTTCTCTTTATAAATTTTCGTAGTTTCGTCATCTTCTTAGTTGACTACCCTTTATTCGTCGTTACAAATGAGAGTTTTTACTGGGCAGACAAAAATATGAAAGGGTGAAAAGGCGATTCTGCAAGAAACAGTAATATTAAAAAGGTTTGAAATCTTTGTCTAAAGCAATGTATTATAGCTTAACATATTTCTTCGCAAAGTGTTAACGTAAATACAGGTTAAAAAACCTTTTTGAAAGTTTTCAAACATAAGCATTCGTAGCAGCATCGTAGCACTGATTGAAATGGCATAAACTGACGACAGTCAACCGCCTAAATTCAGAAATTCAGCAAGGGATCTGTGACAGTATGGTAGCACCTTGTCGTGGTTTTATTCATTAATCTGGTTTCAACTTTAAGGCTTGCAGAAGGAGAAAACAGCATTAAATTTGCATAAAAACACAGGCTTTAAAATAAAGTTAGACCTATTTTGAAAGTAAATGTTCTGATGCAGCCGATATATGCAAAAATAAGTGAGACTGCCTTAAAGCAGACATTATGATTTATGTTCCACTTTGATTTGTGACCTTGAATTCTGACTGCTAATCATTTCGCTTTCTATATTTCTTGACGTAACTAGTTGCACAAAATTACTAATTTTATACAGAGTTAGTTTTGCAAATTGGTTAGATTTATTCTAGACTATGCAGTTGTTGTCCCAATGATCCACTTTACAATACATCCGAATCAACGCATTTTGTCTTTATTACTGATAATCTATAACTGTCATTAACAGGGTTGAAGGTGTACTTGTTTCTCCTCTGTTTGAGTGAGAAGTTAGGCATATATTCAAGTTGGCAAATTCAGCATCAAGAGTTTTAAAGGTTTTGGTTTGGCGAAACCAAATAGGCGTTTGTCAGAGTTGCCACGCCACACGGCACATAAAGCTTTTCACGCTTGAATTGTCTGTGAAGAAGTTTTTGTTACGTAATCTCAGACGGACCCTGAAGGCACTTCTGACCTTTACCTAATCACTGTGGCCTCCTTATCTTCTGAAGACATGTAAAACTTTATCATAAGTGTTCAGCTGAAGCAAGGTCTGAAGCTAAAGCTTGATAAGAAAGAGCATCAGCTGACTTTCCTTTAGTCTGATGTTGAAATACGTATGCGCTGAATAGTTATCGAGTAAAAAGAAAGGCTATTTATTACTGATTTGTCTTTGGCTCGGTATGCAAGATTTTTGGGGCTTATCTTTCAATCACTGATATTCATTTTTCCGCTGCAACTAAACAGTAATCGATACTGTTCACCAAAAGTTTCTTAAATTTCAGGACAAAACTGTATAAAACAAAGAAATTAAATTGTTAAAATGTGCCACTAAATGGAGGCCTTACTGACGGGTGTAACAGTCGTTTGATTTTGCTCTACTTCACCTGATTTGAGTAGTGCCAAATTTATGGAAAAACTCAAACTTACCAGTGTAAACAACTCTTGTCTTGGTTGTATAGCTTGAACAATTCATCCTAGGTAGTGATCAGTTTCAGTAAATGACTTATTAGACGTTTATTTCTGGAGTGTTATGTTCGAAATAAGGTTTGTTGAGAATCAGATTTTTATTCCAGTTTTTTTTTTTTTGTTGTTGTTTTTTGAAATAAAAATTTTGTTGTGAATCTTAAAATGCCCACTTCTATTCAGCTTTTTTTTTCAGTATAATAGAATTTTTTCAATATCAATTTACTCGTTGTTGTTGTTGTTGTTATTTTGTTCTTCGTTTTAATTAACAAATATTTGTCTGTCTAATTAGGAGTTGAACAGCACTACTCAATAGTTACGTTGTAGAAATGAGTATTAAACAGGAAAAAAGAATCAAGAGAACGAAGGCGGAGGAGAAGGAGGAAGGGATTGTCTGACTATAATTAAGCTTCAGTTATTTGAACAATATTAGAAACAAAGAGCAACAATAATGAGCTAGTAGCTAACTAAGAGTTTTTTAAAGGTACAATTTACTCGATGGAAGCACATCCAACAAACTGCGAAAGTTGGATGTCACATCTGTTTCATCTGACAAAAATAAATTCAATGATTAATTTTTTGCTGTATTGGAAGAGAAGTGATACGATGCGAGATGCGATCAAAGATGTTCTCGACGATATAAAGCATTTTCGGTTTTGCTGTTACGAACATCGAATCAAAAAAATTAGCATGCCTAGCCATTTGGTCACCATGGAAAATCAACGACTTCGGTCAGTTGTTATTAACATGAAAAAAAAAAAAATTAAATTTTTTAAGGTTTTTTTAATAGTTAATTATTCCACTTTTGTTTGCTGTTTTTTCTGAAGTGTTTTTTTTTTGTAGTTGCAAATTTTGCTTTTTTTTTTCTTTTATTCTTTTTTGTCTGTTAGTTTTACTTTACCTTTCTTCATATTACAATCTAAGAATTTTTTAAGTGACAAATTATAGGTGGGAGAAAAAAGAATGGTACTGCTAAAAATTTAGACATTTTAAAATCTGATGTAATTTTATGTTTGTGATAAAAAAGAAAAATGGATTAAAGAAAAGCCTTAGGTTTAAGGAGCACTATAAAAAACCAAAAAAAAAAAAAAAAAAAATTAACTGGAACCAAAAAAAAAGGAAACAGAAAATTCTGTATAAAATCGAATTCTTATTTTTTTAGGTTTTTTAGGCCACTCTCCTCCCGGGATTTGGAAGAAGCACTTTGAGGATTGTGGTGGACTGCCAAGGCACCATTATGGTTACCAAAAAAAAAGAGAAAACAAGAAAAAAAAAACAAAAAAAAAAATAATGAAGGAAACGAAGTAATTCGTTGAAAAAAAAAAAAA